GAAGGCTCAATCGAAAGAAGGGTATGAGGCTAAAAAACAGTTTATTATAAAAGAAAAAATAGGCTAAGAAGGCTCAAATGGGCTAACTAGGGGAATATATTGTGCTGGGTAATAAAGAAAGGCTTAATGGGTTACCTAGTGCCCTTATCATTTTCAAAACGCAAGACATGATAGTTGCAAGTTCAACATGCATAATCACTCAAGTTCTAGGTCATCTAATTGAGCACTACAAATCACACATGAAAAATTTTTTCCAAAAGCTTGAATATATGCAATTTATTTTCTACTGTGACTTTTGGAACATAGGCTCAAATTCTCACAGGGTTCAAACGTCGACTTGACTCAACATATCATCAATCAAATGTCATTAGTCATGCCAAACTAACCTATCACACAAATCACCTTTGACTCACTTCAGACTAATCTCAAAAACATGCGAAAAGACAGCAAATCAGGCATAAAAATAGCACAAAAAATCTCTCCCCATACCTAAAGTATGCATTGTCCTCAATGTAAAGAAAGCAATAAAAGAAGAGAGGAACTTCCCTGGAGTCCATAGGGGGTGTAGTAGTTGGGAGCTTTGTTAACACCTTTTCATTTGATCGTGATTTTTAGGGAGGCTTGAAGTTCTCCTGAGTCCTGCGAAAACAACTAACCAACGCAAGCCATTTAGAGGAGCGAATGTGGTGATCGGCGATGACTGAGCAGGGAAGGAAGAAGTCGACGGCGCCGGAGGTTGGAGGCGGCGACTAAACCAAACAAAACTATCAAAAGTGTTATTAGCAATTAAATAATAAAAATAAATAAAATTAAAGAAAGCAATTAAATGATTTTGGGTTGTCTCCCAAAAAGCGCTTTTCTTTATAGTCTTTGAGCTAGACTTTGTTGCGTCTCAGTCCTCAACTTCGATATCGGCGAGAGACACCAACTGTACAGCTTCAAGTGGGAATCCCTCGTAATATGACTTAAGACGATGTCCATTGACCACAAACTTTTTCTCCGTCCTTAAGCTCTGAATCTCCACTGCACCATAAGGAAAAAGTTTAGTAATGATAAAGGGCCCTATCCACCTAGAGCGCAGCTTTCCAAGGAAAAGCTTAAGACGATAGTGATATAATAAGACTTTCTGTCCGATCTCAAAATTTTTTCTGGAGATGTGATGATCATGAAAGGCTTTTGTCTTTTCCTTGTAGAGTATCGCATTCTCGTATGCCTCTTGTCGAATCTTCTCAAGCTCTTGAATTTGCATTTTTCGATGGGCTCCGGCTTCCTGAAGATTCATATTGCACTTTTTCACTGCCCAAAATGCCTTGTGTTGAATTTCCACAAGTAAATGGCAAGGTTTTCCATACACCAATCGAAATGGTGACATCCCTATTGGTGTCTTGTATGCTGTTCGATATGCCCACAGAGCATCATCGAGTCTCGAGCTCCAATCTTTTCTGTTCGGTTGAACTGTTTTCTCCAAGATAGACTTGACTTCGCGGTTGGAGATTTCAGCTTGTCCATTCGTTTGAGGATGATATGAGGTTGACACCTTGTGAAGCACTCCATATTTTCGAAAAAGTGCAGCCACGGTTTTGTTGCAAAAGTGAGTCCCTCTGTCACTCACAATTGCCTTTGGCACTCCAAATCGAGAGAAGATATATGACTTAATGAATTCTGCAGTCACCTTAGAATCATTAGTTCGGGTGGCTCTTGCTTCCACCCATTTTGAGACATAATCAATAGCCAAGATAATATATAAGCATCCATATGAATTAGGAAAAGGTCCCATAAAATCTATACCCTACACATCAAATATTTCGACAAACATCATAGGCGATTGAGGCATTTGATTACGGGAAAAGAGATTACCTGTTCGTTGACATCTATCACAAGACTTACAGAACTCAAATGCGTCCTTGAAGAGAGTAGGCCAGTAAAGTCCATTGTCCAACACCTTTTTAGCTGTTTTCTTGGATCCAAAGTGTCCACCACATGCCATAGAGTGACAAAAGGTCAAAACAGAATGAAATTCACCTTCATTAACGCACCTTCGTATGATTTGATCAGAGCATCGCTTCCAAAGGTATGGGTCATCCCAAATGTAGTATTTTGCATCGCTGCGGAGCTTATCCCTTTTCGCCTTTGCCCAACCTGCAGGAAACTCGTTAGTGACTAAATAATTAACAATATCAGCATACCAAGGGTGTGTAGTCGTAATAGAGAGAAGCTGTTCATCAGGAGACGACTCTCTAACAGGAACTGCTTCTGACTCCACGGGTATACGACTCAAATGGTCAGCTACCAAATTTTCAGTTCCTTTCTTGTCGCGAATCTCTATGTCGAACTCTTGCAGAAGGAGCACCCATCGAATTAATCGAGGTTTGGCTTCCTTCTTTGCCATCAAGTAACGCAGAGCTGCATGGTCAGAGTACACAAACACTTTAGTGCCTAAAAGATAAGATCTAAATTTCTCAAGAGCAAAAACAATAGCAAGCATCTCTTTCTCCGTGGTGGAGTAATTTAATTGAGCGTCATTCAGTGCTCGAGAAGCATAGTAGATGACATGAGAAGCTCTCCCAACTCGTTGCCCTAGAACGGCTCCCACTGCATTATCGCTTGCGTCACACCAACTCGAATGGCAAGTCCCAATTCGGAGGTTGAATAATCGGTGGTGTTGTGAGGCGCTCTTTCAGTGCTCCAAATGCCTTCTTGCAATCGTCATTGAGCTCAAATGCTACATCTTTCTGCAGGAGGTGAAACAATGGTGCTCCGATCTTGGAGAAGTCTTTGATGAAGCGTCGGTAGAAACTTGCATGTCCTAGAAAACCACGTAGCTTTCGCACAGAAGTAGGGTAAGGTAAAGCAGTGATTAGCTCAACTTTAGATTTATCTACTTATATACCCTCATGTGACACCTTATGGCCTAAAACAATTCCTTGCTGAACCATCAGTTGACATTTCTCCCAATTGAGCACAAGGCTAGTTTCGATGCATCGTTTCAAGATTAAAGTCAAATTACCTAGACAATCATCAAAACTAGAGCCATATACACTAAAGTCATCCATAAAAACTTCAATGATTCGCTCAATATACTCAGAGAAAATACTTACCATACATCTTTGGAATGTAGCAGGGGCATTACAAAAACCAAAAGACATCCTTCTGTAGGCGAAAACTCTAAACGGACAAGTGAATGATGTTTTCTCCTGATCCTCGGGTGCTATCGCTATCTGAAAATAACCTGAAAATCCATCTAAAAAGCAGTAATATGCGCGACCAGCGAGTCGTTCAATCATTTGATCAATATAAGGGAGAGGAAAATGATCCTTTTTTGTTACTGCATTCAGCTTACAGGAATCTATGCATTGGCACCATCCAGTTTGTTTTCGAACCGGGAGCTTTTCTCCTTCTCGAGTCTCTTCCACCGTTACTCCAGCTTTCTTGGGAACCACTTGAACCGGATTCACCCACCTACTATCGGAGATAGGGTAGATGATACCAGCTTCGAGAAGCTTTAACACTTCTTTCTTAACTACCTCAGTCATAATCGGGTTCAACTTCCTTTGAGCTTGTCTCACTGGTTTTGAATCCTCCTCGAGTGTGATCCTATGAGTACAGAGCGAGGGATCAATACCTTTTATGTCAGCGATCGTCCATCCAATGGCGGTCTTGTGATCTTTTAGAACCTTGATCAATTTCTCTTCTTGTTCTGGTGTCAATTTTGCAGAGATGATCACCGGTAGAGTCTTCTTCTCTCCCAAATAAGCGTACTTTAGAGTTTCAGGTAAAGGCTTCAATTCCAATTCAGGTGCCTGCATCAAAGATGGTAATAAACATTGATTAGACTCATGTAAAAATATTGGAGCTAATTCATACCTTGGTGACACTCTTTGAGTTGAGTTAAGCTCCTTTAGAACTTTTCTTATTCTCTTGTCTACGGCTATCACTCTCCCATGTTCTTTCTCCAGATGTTCCATTAACACGATCTTCAATTCGTCGGAACCACTTAATCCAAATGCGTCTTGCACCAAGGGATCAATGATATCAATTGCATATAATGTTTCAGAATCAATAGGATGTTTCATAGCATCAAAAATATTGAAATGGACTTCTTCTTCATCAAATTCCAAAGCGAGAGTGCCCTTCCGTACATCAATTTTTGCTCCTGCAGTGCACATAAAAGGTCTTCCTAACAAAAGAGGCGGTGGATTAAAGCAGTGTGCATCATGCATATCCAGAATATAAAAATCAACAGGGAAAATTAAGTCATTAACTTGAACTAGCACGTCTTCTATCATACCATCAGGGTAAGCATTGGTTCGATCAGCAAGTTGAATAATAATTCCTGTTTCTTTTAAAGGCCCTAGATTTAAATAATCGTATATTGATCGAGGCATGACATTAATAGCAGCTCCTAAATCTAGCATAGCCTTAGTTATCTCAGTTTTTCCAATCCTACAAGGGATAGAAAACATACCTGGATCACCTGTTTTGGGTGGTACCTTTCTTTTGAGAACAGCAGAAACGTTCTCACCCGCTATAATATGCTCGTCCCCTCGCAATTTCCTTTTCTTAGTGCACAGTTCTTTCAAAAACTTTGCGTACTTGGGGATTTGGTTGATAGCCTCCAGGAGCGGGATATTAAGTTCTACCTTCTTGAATATTTCCATCATCTCTTTTCGTTTGTTTGCCTTTTGTGGTTTCTTCAACCTGTCAGGAAAAGGAGCTGATTTAGTTTCAGTAGGAGGAACAGAGTCAGGAAGTACCTTTTCGTGAAGTTCAGCTTCTTTTTCGATCTCCATCTCAATCTGATCCTCATTCTGTTCCTTTGAGATGGGAGGTGGACCTTCCAATTCCTTTCCGCTACGAAGAGTTATGGCACTGATGTTCTTCGGGTTTTGCTCTGGTTGCGCAGGCCACTTTCCTCTTTCTCGTAGTTGTTTTACCTCTTCTAAAACTTGGCTAATCTGACTTTGTAGCTTGTCGACAGTTGACTTCATCTCTTGCTGGAATTACAGGGTACTGGTAGCCATAGACTTCACCAAGTCTTCCAAGGACGGACTGGAGTTGCTTGTGGGTGTTTGGGGGAGCTGTTTCTCGTAAGGGCGAGGCTGTTGCATCTGATGTGTGGCTCCAAATGGTTGAGGACCATGATTCTGGTGTGCGTTTCCATAGCGCAGGTTTGGATGATATCTCCAGCCTGGATTGTAGATGTTGGAGTATGGATTGTACGCTGGAGGTCTATTTATACAGTAGTTTGCAGCGTTCACATCCACTGCACATTCTTCTTGGAGGGTCGGACATGCATCTGTAGGGTGTCCTGTACTCGTGCATATTCCACACGCCTTGACCTGGACACTCGGGTTGGATTTTTCCACGACCATCTTGCGAACGAAGCTCGTCAACTCAGAAAGTTGTTGCTGCATCGATTGGATGGCATGGTCGTTGTTTCCGCTCATATGTCCAACATCTCTTGAGCCGAATTGCTGTGTATTTTCAGCCATCCTCGCAATAAGATCCCAAGTTTGTGCCGGCGTCTTATTTACTAAAGCTCCACCACTTGCAACATCGATAATGTTCTTGTCCATCAACGACAAACCATCATAAAAGTATTGAATCAATAATTGAGGGGGAATTTGATGTTGTGGACATTTAATGATAAGCTTATTGAATCGCTCCCAATATTCATGGAGCGTTTCACCTGATTGTTGCTTGATGCCACATATCTCCTTCCTCAGGATCGCAGCTCTGGAAGCTGAAAAGTACTTTTCCAAAAATTTATTCTTCATGTTGTTCCACGTGTCGATGCTTCCAGGTGGGAGATAGTAGAGCCAATCCTTTGCAGCATCTTTGAGTGAGAATGGGAAGGCTCTGAGTTTGATCTGTTCGTCAGTAATACCTGGTGGTTTCATGCTGGAGCACACCACGTCGAACTCTTGCAAGTGTTTGTGAGGTTTTTCACCTACAAGTCCATGAAAAGAAGGCAATAAATGAATTAATCCAAATTTGAGTTCAAAAGCAATAGTGTTATTCAGAGTGGGAAAGTTAATGCATAAGGGTTGCTGCGCCAAGTCGGGAGCAGCCAACTCCCTTAAAGTGCGGGTATCCTCAGCCATGACAGTCTCTTGATCACTTTCAGAGTCACTAGAGCTAGAGATTTTGAGGTGGTTTAAAGATTCTGCCAGCTTCGCAACTTGAGCAGCTTTTCGTTGTTTGGCTTCCTTTCGTAGCTTTCGCTCGACCTTCTCGAACTCAAGATTAAATATCAGTTCACCTGTACGAGAAGAACGGGGCATAAACAAGAGGATAAATTAAAATAACACAAAAGAGTAAAACAAAACGCCAATCCCCGGCAACGGCGCCAAAAATTGACCTGTCGCACGGTTAATCAAATATTTCACCTACTCCGTGATCACAATTTAATGTAATATAGGGGAATGGATCGTCTCCACAGGGATTGTGTGATTCACTCTTTCGTATTCTAATGCAGTAAATAAATATGGATTTTTCTTTTATTATCTAATGAAAATAAAATAACATAGCAATTAAATTAAGGAGGGAACTGACTATCAAGGGGATGTTTGGCTCAAGGGATGATGCAGTTATGGCACTTGTGTTTTATCATAAATTCAATAAAGTTAATTCTTATTAAAGTATCAACAAATTGGTTATAGTTATCAACAAGCTCTGACAACCAATTTTTTCTTACAGTGTGGGTAATTAAGGTACGACCGTTAACTACCCCTAATTAAGCAAATAAACCTAGGTGCGCCCATAAGAATATTGCCTAACCGCATTCCAATCTAGAAAAACCCAATTCAAAACAATTACTACCTAAGAGGAGTAATTAGATTTGATTGCCTAACCCCCGGGAAGGAACTATTCAACCCGGTTGTCACCTATTCAAGTGCGAATACAATTACGGATATCCTATTTGAATTGACTTTAGATTATCAGACTAATTTAAATATTGGTACCAAAATATTCAATCAATCTAACAATCACAAATGCTATTATCAGAATTAGACAAATATTGATAATAAAAAAGAACTTTTATAAAGAAAATCAAGAATCTCCAAAACAAAAGAACCAAAACATTATCACCCCTCAAACCAGAAAAGTATCTACTCCATAATTAAATAACAAAGAAGAAAAGAGAAAGATGAAGTCATAGTGGGAGGGGGAAATCTTCTCTGTCGATTTGCTCCTGCGCGATCTATGGATCTGTCAGTCTCCTGCTCCTGTGCGTATCTGCCCTAGCCGTTTTCCCCCTTTTGAAACGTGTGATCCCTCCTTTTATTTAATGTTTGCCCTAATTATTTTGTAGATGGGCTTTTGGGCCTTTAATTAATTTTATTTCTTTTTTCTGCCAATTATGCCAAATTTAATATTTGTCTTCTGCACACAGCAAATAAACAATTCGCATATAAATCCAATCAAAATCATCCAATTATCGCATATGATATTAATATAAAACGCATGCGATTTCTAACTATCAGTATTGATAATTGTTGCAGAAATTCTAGGAAATCAAGAAGAGACCAACAAGGACACAAGAATTTGGTAACCCAGTTCGATCAGAATGATCTATATCTGGGGGCGCTGCCAACCCAAAAATTTACTATAAAGTACGCAGACACATGTTAAAGTGAGAATATTTGAATATTTATAGGTTAAACATGCCAATAATATCCAAATTATATCTCTAAAATCTAGAATATAATATCTAAATCATATCCCTAGATTTTAGGATATAGTCAGGCTTCATATTCTAACAATCTCCCACTTGAAAACTGATTGCATCTTCCACTTCAATATTTTACTTCATCGGCAGCGACGGCGCCAAGCTTCATTCTTCACTCATCGAAGCCAATTGAGGTTGAACACAACCTCAACCCATCTAAGGTCATTACTTTAGATTGTCTTCCAAGATTGTTCATAAATCGGCTTACTACTCCTACTGCACATGCTTTCCGTTTCCTAAAGGTATAAAAGCATCGTATTCATGCTTAAGGAAGTATACTCATACCTCTCTCGTATCGTCGTCAATGAACGCAGTGTAGTACTGTGAGTCTCCAAGGGTCGATACAAGAGCTGGTCCCCACAAGTCCGTTTGGATCAATTCCAACTTTTCCTTTTCCAGGTCTTTCCATCTTTTGAGAACGCCACCTTTCGCTGCTTCCCAAAGATATAATCATCGCATACTCCAATATCGACGGATTTAAGACCTGTCAATCTTCCCTTTGAAACGAGTTCCTTCTATGATCGGGTTTCATATCCCAACAATAATATTAAAAACTAATATTTTATATTGAATATTGATTTTTTTTTTTTTGTGAGAGAAGAGATTACATATATTCATCCGTTCCAACTCAATATACTTAGTTATTATTTTTGTTAGTCATATTCAAAGATATTAATTTTGTATTCTAATAAAAATAATTCACACACACACATATATATATATATATCAAAATATCCCTAATTTTTACAAAACTATTCATTTTTTTTTTGTACTTTTGACAAAAATATAAATACTATCTTACATAGTTTTACTCACTAATAAAATAATATTATTTTTAAATCAATAAGAAAACAATATATGGATACTTTGAGTCGGGATGGGGGAGTATATTATATAGTCCATTTGTCTCGATACAATAGTCCTATTTTACCATTTTTATTTATTTTAAAACAATAGTCTCATTTTTTTAAAAAAATAATCATATCACCGTACAACTTTTTTTTTTTATTATTATTATTTATTATTACATATGTATCATTATTATTATTTTTTTTTGTTCACTCAAATTAAAATACTTATTATCACTTTTTACCGATTAATGTCAGACATAAATAAGTCTATTTTGAAATGACAAAAATAGTATATTACGAATGTGTTAGTAATATTGGGTTTGAGTGAACAAAATGATTATTTGTGTATTTATATATATATATATATTAAAATTGTTAACTTAGGTGTGTTTGTTTAGTAATTTTTTTTAAAAAGATATATATATTTATTTATGTGAAATATAAAAAATTATTTAATAATATAAAAATATAAGTGTAATATATTATTTTTTTAAAAAAATATTTATTTTTGAAAATTGTAAAAGAACACACGTTATATATTAATATATTATTTATATCATATTATATATATCTAATATAAAATTATCTCAGCCCTCTAGTAATGGTATATTTTTTTAAAAAAACATATGTATCTTTTTTAATTTAAACATTAAAAATATTTTGAAAGGTCTCTTGATCATAAAGAAATAAAATAATTGTATTAAGAGAATTAAAATCAGAATAAGAATATTTAAATTATTATACCATTATATTAGTGGATGCTTTTTGACATATTGATTCAAAATCTTATGATATTGTATTGGTTAAAATACTTCATTTCATTTACAATATTTTTAAAAAGAATAAAAATATAAGTAAAATATAGAAACATTATAGTAAATTCAACCGGCTACAGTCCTTAATATAAAATTCAACACTGTGCTGCACATCATGTGCTACCGGACAACACACGGTATTACTATACACAACAAATAATATACGTTATTATGATACAAATACAACATATGATATAGTTTCACACAACACATATAATACTTGATTTTAGCATATGACATATTCTCATACATCACATGCTGTAATTATGAACAAACAACACATGTCTTTATTACATACAACATATATTATTTATAAAAAAAATATATGCTATCTTTGTATTTTATGTGTGTTGAATTGAAAAATCAGCATGATTCTGATTTTCCAAATTCAACACCGTAACCTTTCCCTATTAAGGGTGTGTTTGTTTGGGGGCTTGGATTTTGAATTGAGATTTGAATAGTAAAAATTTTGAATTTGAATAGTTGTATGATGTGATATAAATAGGTGTTGATGTGATGTTTTGAATGTAAAATTGATTTTTAGTATAATATAAAAATGAAAAATAAGTGTTTGATTTGATGTTTTTGGGAAAAAAAATTGGATGAATAGTATAAATACAATCCAATTCCCCAAACAAACACATATAGATTTTGTATTATTAGGGGTGTGCTTGTTTGGGAGTTTAGATTTTGAGTTGGAATTTGAATAGTAAATATTTTTGAATTTGAATAGTTATTGATGTGATGTAAATAGGTGTTGGTGTGATATTTTGAATGTAAAATTGATTTTTAGTATTATATAAAAAATAAAAAATAGATTTTTGAGTTGATAAACACACCTTAATTAAATATGTTACATCATAATGGAATGAATCGGCATGCATGTTTCCTCTTACTTTAATAACGAACATTATATAATTACATTGCCCCATGATGTCGTGTAAAAGCAGTGTTGTATTATTTGTTATGTCTTGATTAAATAATACTACTACTATTTATTCTTAAATAAATTTAGCAACCGACATCTTCCTCAATCGATCCTTGTGCTGCGATGCCATTTTGTTCAATCTCAATAACAGTATTATTATTATTATTATTATTATTATTATTTATTTATTTATTTAATAGTACTATTATTATTTTGAAAACACATAATAAAGGCTCCACGTGTCGTGTAGTAAGGAGGGTGTGATAGGGTGCCGCGTGGGCTCGACCGACCAGGACAGACTAGACTAGCCTGGTCAGTTTTCCTTGATTACTCTATTTTTTTTTTTTTTTTATTACAATTAAATTAAATCATGGCTTTGTGCGCTGGCCCTTACGTGCTCACCATTTTTCAGTATTTTGTTTTATTATTATTATTATTTTTTTTAAAAAAAATTAATTGGGTGCATCACACGTCTTCTTTTCGTGCACTTTACCTAATCTCCAAGCCACAGAGTTCACAAAATTTGGGAAAATTATTATTATGATTTTTTATAAAGGTTTTATTTATGAATTATAAGGTTTGATTGATTGATTAATTAATTTTAAATTTCGTTGATAGCTGATGTGTCTATAGCTACGTATTATTATGATTAAAAAAAATATTATATACTATTTTCGTTCATTTTAAATAATTCATTTACTTTTTACATGTTGATACTAGAATATTAATTATCATATAAAAATATAGTACAAATTAAAAAAAAATTACAAAAATACTTTCATTAGTATCTTATAATACTAATAAAAATATATTTATACAAAAAATTATACAAATATAAAAATATTTTGAATGTTAAACACAATGACACGAAAAAGATAAAGGTGATTAGAGGTGGATAGAGAGAGTATATAATACTCCCTCCGTCCACACAATAAGTATACATTTACTTTTGGCGCGGAGTTTGAGAAATAATAGTATTCTAATTATAATAGTAGGTAAAAGTAGTTTAATGACATTTTTGTCCTTACTTTTTGGTATAAAAGTAATGATACGATGTAAAGTAAGGGTATTTGTGGAAAAAAAGTGGAGTATTTAATGAAATTTTTACTTTGTAATTGGATGTCCCAAAGTAAAAATATATATACTCTGTAGCTAGACGGATGATGGAGTATATGAATGCGGTGTTAAATATTAACAAAAACAAAGGATTACAAATGTAATTATAAATTTAAATATGGATAATAAAATATATTAAAGATTCTAGTGACAATTTTGTTGTGTTATAAATAAAGTACTTAATATATCTAAGGAAAAAATAACATAAAATAAGTTAATTAATATTTTCAATATATAAATAATTAGAGTAGAATATTTCAAGTATATATGTATTTAAAATAGATTACATTTGACAAAATTAGTTTGAAAATTCAAATAAAAGAAACAATTTTTTTTGGGGCGATTCGACAATTTAAAATTAGGAGTGTATTTGGTACAAATTTTCCAAATTGTATAATATTAGTCAATAAAAATATACTTCCTTCGTCCACAAACTAATTTACTATTTTTATATACAAAATTTACTTTTTTACCCTTACTTTATTTACTCTTTCATTTTCTATATACAAGATTAAGGACAAATTTGTCATTTTATAACCAAAACCCTAATTGCCTAAAAATATGTATAAATATCAAATAAGACATTAGAAAATTGACAGAAGGAGTATTATTTATTTTATACAATATTACATCAAAACTTAAAAAAGAAAAAAAAAATCAAGCTCAAATAAAAATTTAAAAAGAAAAGATTTTATTTGATTTTTGTATTTTATGTTTACTTTTTGGTGTTCAACAAAGACGGTAATAAATTTTTATAAAATCTAGACATACCATAAAATAATGAAAGAGTAATCGATCGACATATTTATTACAGAAATTATCCATTTATAAAATGTAGCCTATATCATAAATGTGAACATAATTTATTATAAAATCTAATTTTGCTGCGGCCCATAATCATAAATAACTCTCATAGTTAAGCTACATTATTTAATTCAATTTTCTACATGTAACTATGGTCATTGCCGACTCCTTTCTACAATTTATTTAAATAATTTTGTATTATTATTATTATCATTATTATTATTATTTTCCGAAAATATTCTACAAGGTCGTTGTGATATTCGTACAAATCTTAAATGAGCACTTTCCAAAATATACTGAGATCGCGTTATCTTTTCTTGATTTAAACTCGTATATTTTTATTTAAAATATTTTAATAAAAAATAAAATAAACAAATCTAAAATTCCATTTTTTTCGACCGTTGTATATATGAAAAGATACATGACACGTGGACAATAAGTGGTGAATATATTCACGCGTTTGGTAGACCTTACCGCACCGAATATATATTTCTGATTTAAAATTAAAAAAAAGAAAAAGTGCGAGGAGAGAGAGAGAGAGAGAGAGAGAGAGAGAGAGAGCAGTTTATGAGAAGTTTCCTCGCAATTTCGCAGCACCGTTTCGCATCGGCTCTCCTCTATTCTCACTCAACTGGATTCGCTGAGGCGGTTGGTTTTTTTCAGGTTTGTAGCGAGATTTGTTGGTAATCGGTGATTTTTTTGACGCTTTTTGGGTGTGGTAATCGGTGTAGTTGGTTAGGAGGATTGGTAGGGGTGGGGGAGAAAGGATATCTATCAGTAGGAAAAAGCATATGAACTCATCCCTGTGCAAATTGTTGCTGTGTTTATATTCGCCAGAATTGATCTGAAGTAGTGTTTTTAAGCAATGTCTATGTGCTGGTATTGACTTGATTTGACAGAGATAAGCCGTGTCATCTCTCCTGCGAACAGAATCCGAAATGAACGAGGACTACAAGTCGTCGCCGTACAGGCGACACCGGAATGACCTTGAAGCCGGGAACAGTACCCGAGACTATGACTTGGACGATGATGAAGGTTCGGGGCCGTTTGATATAGTACGAACAAAAAGTGCTCCGGTCGACCGCTTGCGTAGGTGGAGGGTAAGTAGTGCATTGTTATCATCTGTTTTTGATGATTTTCTGTGGTTGCCTTCAGTTCATATTTGTGGTAAAGTGCGACCGACAGGCATGTTGTATTGTTCTTTCTGATCAATTTTATTTTATTTTAGTTTTTCCGGGACTGTATCTACTTGCAATAAATAATTAATAGAGGTGAAGATTAAATAATTTGTGATCAGGTTAATATCCAGATTCTTTAGACCTTACAGCGCCGTTTCAGAAGTTGATTTTTGTTTTTATACTCAATACTAATTTGTTTTTAGAAAATATTAAACATCACTGAGGAAATATTACGTGTAAGTGTATTTGCTCACCTGTGAGGAGGGTTGAATAGAAAGCAGATACTACTTGTGGTAATGCTGAAACTGGTTATATATAATTTGAAAAACTATTTATCTAACCTGTACTTTAATAACAACGTAAAAGAATACTTTCCTTGCAAGTTGATGGTGGCCGTGTGTCAAATGTGTGTTTTTAATTTTTTATTGGAATTTTAACTTTGATGTTGTTTAAGATATCTGATATGGATTCTGGAGAAATTTGAATCCTTAATGTGAATTCCTTCCCGCCAACCATGCAATGAGCCTACAGGCAAATTTATGATGCGTGCAATATCTGCTTTAGAACTTATTGTGGGAAGATCAATTATCCAGTTGTTTTGCATGAGAGCAACTTTGTTTGAAAAAAATGAATGCCATTGGTGGTTGTGGTTTCAGATAGTCGAGTGCATGGAGTTTATTGTTGCATGTCGTTTGTTTTAAATTATACATGACGTTGGTTATCGTGCTTGCGGTTCGTTCATGCTCAGCTCATCATTTTTGGCTAATTATTGCAAGTGATTTAATGTCAGCAAGATCCATTTTCTAGATGTTGGTTAACATGAGCAATACTATGTATATAACGAATACTTGCCATTGGGGGTTTGTGGTTTCAGGTTGTGAGCTTAGAACTTACTGTGATTGGTAACTTGTTGCTTGTTAGTTGCACTTATACTTCCAATCTAATTGAATACCAACCTATAAGCTATATTCTCTCTGCTTTTCACACCGACTATTTGGGTAGAAGATTATGTTATTTGATGAGAGCTGCTGCTTTTTTATTTTAATTTTTAATTTTTTCATGGATTTTATTTTTCTTGGGTTTTATATTATTACTTTGGGGTAGTTATTGATGTTATCCTGTATTGACTACCTTTGCATCAGCAAGCAGCGCTTGTACTTAATGCTTCTCGGCGATTTCGGTATACATTGGATTTGAAAAAAGAGGAAGAGAGGAAGCAGTTGGTTGCAAAAATTAGAATGCATGCTCAAGTCATCCGGGTGCTTATATTTCGTTTTTCTTCTTGATTGTATTGTTTATAAAATATCAATTGATTGTTATTAATCAAAATTTTGTGAGCAGGCAGCTGTTCTTTTTCAAGCTGCTGGGCAGGGTCAAACTGGTAATTTTCTTCATCACTTATTTATGTACTTTTTTAGAATGCATTTGATATGGGGTATCCGGAGCTCGGAAATAGCCACTGATGGAGCCCCTGGTGGCGGTGGATGGGGGCAGTGCCAGGCGCTGTAGCCCTCTGGGTCTTCATTGACCGGGCCTACAGGCTTCCCATATTTTTGTGCCGTATTGTGTTCTAGGCTTAATCTGCTATTGATCAGCCTTAGTTTCTGTAGTAAGTGGATTGTTACGGGCCCTTACCAGACATTCCTGGTTATGGGAACATGGTTTTAACAAGTGACTGGTTAATGCCATTAAGCATATATATATATTAGCTAAAGCTTCTTCCCATTGAATATTTCTTCTAATTCCTTTTTGGTGAAACTTGTTATAGCTTTTTGTGCATTCCTAAACTGTCTTATCATGCAAGATGTCTTTGTTTCATTTCTCAATTTGCACTGTTACGAGAACGTGGTTATTTATGGTATCCCACTTATATTGTGCGTCAGTTAATCTTATGTTCAGTCTTCAACATTATATATTCTGTTATTTTCATATATAATGATCGTTTCTCTGAGAATTAGCCTGGACTGTAGCTTTTCTTTCTGATAATCATCATCCATACCTTTTATTTAGGTCAAGGATCAGCCAAGTTACCTTCAACCCCAAATCGGATTGGTGATTTTGGTATCAGTTCTGAGGAGCTAGTTGCAATGTCCAGGGAGCATGATCTCTCTCTTCTGCAGCAGTTTGGAGGGGCAAGTTTTCAGAAATCCTATTCTGCAGACTTCCATAAATTTATGCTGATGTTATCCCAACATCTCTTTCTTTACTTCTTGTATTATAGGTTAATGGAGTGGCTCAGAAGCTAAATTGTAATGTGGAGAAAGGTGTGCCTGGAGATGAGACTGACTTAATAGAACGGAAGAAAGCTTTTGGATCTAACACATATCCTCGGAAGAAAGGGCGAAGTTTTTGGGTGAACATTAATTCATCTTGTTGCTACTGCAGTCATTATATTCTAAAATCATTCATGTTTATGACTGGAACCATTATTTATGCTTTTCTCAGAGATTTGTCTGGGAAGCCTGTCGAGACACTACATTAATCATTTTGATGGTTGCTGCAGCAGCATCCCTAGCGCTTGGCATAAAGACGGAGGTAAGGGCAAACATGCTTTTCCTTGCCCAACTGCTGAAACACATTTTAATTTTTAGTTTTTGTGGATCGTTCTGGTGTTAATTTTCTTACGTCTTGCTGAATAATGGGTTTGCTTAGGTTAATGATTAGATATATTGTCACTGCAATATGGTTTAATTTTGGGGTGGGGTAGTGGGGGATGGTTTTCTGGTGTAACACAAGGTCAAGTTGGCATCCTCTGGATGGCTGGGGTGTCCTTTCATTGGGATTGGTTTTCTGGAGATAAATGGAAATATTTATGGAAGAGATGGAAAGCAGATAGCAGGTAAAAAATTACAATAGATGATGAGGTGAGGTGAGTTGCGCAAATAAATAAAAATTTTGTATAGTAGGAAAATATTGGCTACGTATACTTGGAGTTTAGTTTCATTTGTTTGTTTTTTTTTTTTATTTTTTATAATTTATTTTTACTATGCAATCATCATGATTTCATATAAAAGTCATTTTATTTTCTCATGAAATATTATATCCAAACCACTGGTATTCAAAATACAAAACCAAACTCTAAATAAACAAACCAAACCCTTGCGCTCTGTTTACTTTAAGAATATATATATATATATTTTAGTTACTTTATTAAAACATACCATTTATTCATACTACCCAAAAACCAAAGCACACATGCAAACCCGAAGTTAGGGTTCGTTTTCTTAATATTTTTTTTTTCCATTTTTTTTACTATTCAATATCTTAGTTTCCTTCCATAAACATCACACCCAAACATCGATTTTCCACATAAAACACCATTACATTCAACTACTATTTGACCTAACATTAAATAAAATATGACAAACACAAACGCAAAAGAGAAAAAAAAATACCCCAAAAGAACAATCACCAATTCTTCTTGTTCATAAGGAGATTTTTTTAAATTTATTTTTTATTCTTGCTGCACTCTTATGTTGTGAGAAACTTTTGATGCAGTTTTTAATTCACATGAAGTTTCATTACATGAATTTAAAAACTTACATATCTGAATATTTAAAGTTCAACAAACTATAGAAATTGGATGGAACATCTTGTTAATATATTCCCTGAATGAATAAAGTTAAAATGCAGAAAAATTTGAACATTCCAAAGGGATGTTAGGGGAGTTTGTTGTTTTAAATTTTGTATTCGTATTAATAAATGTTTATTTTCCATTTTAGGGCATAAAGGAAGGTTGGTATGATGGAGGAAGCATTGCTTTGGCAGTCCTTATAGTCATTATATTTACAGGTATTTCTGTCATTATATCATCGGATTTGTTTTGGCCTGTATTTGAAGTGCATGTCAACCTGCGTTATGTTTATATACATTGTGTAGCTTCGTCTTGTAATAATTTGGATTTGTATGTTGCTTAGTACTACCTTCGTTTCCCAACCTCATTTTTACTGTGGTAACTAGCACCCACAGTTTTTGTATTTCAGTTGCTATATTTTGTATTGTAATAGTTTTAGCATCCTTTAAAAATACTAAATTAAAGTGACAATTTTTCCTACAACAATTTGTCCTAAAAGCTGAAATTTTTATATTTTCCATTAGATGAAGGATGAAAAAATGTTGAAGTAAAGAAAAGAAAAACACAGTAGAAATGTGGCTTGTGTGAGCAGACCAGTGTCCTGTGTACACTGGGTTGCTGTGTGATGGCTTTGTTGCAGTCAACTTTATAGGTGTAACAGATTGTGGTAACTGTGGAAATTTTTGCAGCTGTAAGTGACTACAAACAATCACTTCAGTTCCAAAACTTGAATGAGGAGAAGCAGAATATACAAATGGAGGTAGTTGCCATGCAATATTGTAGTTTAAACTTGAACTTCTTTCTCTTTTATTATTTGCCTTATTTTCCCCTTACATTTCTTGGTATTTCCATTACAGGTAGTTAGGAATGGGCGCAGGATAAAAATATCAATATTTGAAATCGTTGTTGGGGATGTTGTGCCTCTCAAAATCGGCGATCAGGTGGTGGAAAGCCACTAACCCATAAAAATAAAGTTTTTCTGTGACTTCCAATGTTCGAATTTCAGCAATTTAACACTAGTTGCATCTGTACAGGTACCTGCCGACGGATTGGTAATCTCTGGTCACTCCCTTTCAATTGACGAATCAAGTATGACTGGAGAAAGTAAAATTGTGAGTTCAATGGATTATCAGGTGTGAGTATTATTTTTTATATGTCGATCCTCTGATAGAAATTAATTGTGCTTTTATTAGGTACACAAAGACTCAACTAAAGCACCATTTCTTATGTCGGGATGCAAAGTTGCTGATGGATATGGAAGCATGCTGGTGAGATCTCTAATCATTTGCATGCTTAATATGAAACTTCCATTTGTTCAATCATAATTGCAATGCCTGGTAATATGTTGTTTGCATGGTGATGTGTATTAGACAAGTATATTTATCATCATTTGCTTGGATAATTTATTGTCCTAGGACTTCACAGTTTTTAGATATTGCAGAATGCTTCCTTCTTGCCCCTCGTTGGTTATATTTGCAAAGCTAATAAAGTGTCATTATTGTACAAACACTGTATGCTGTTAGTGTCCTCTCATGATATCCACCCAGGTGTGATTCTTCATGATAGTTTTACACTTTTACTACTACTTGTATCCCAGGTCACAAGTGTTGGAATAAACACAGAGTGGGGATTACTTATGGCAAGCATATCAGAAGATAATGGTGAAGAAACACCATTGCAGGTCCCTTCTGTTGAAAAATTGAACTTCTGTGTGAATGCTAATTGCCGTGGCTTGTGGTTTTGAGGTTGCACATGCTAATAATTTCAGGTAAGATTAAATGGGGTTGCTACATTCATTGGTATAGTGGGTCTTGCAGTGGCAGTGGCTGTTCTGATTATCCTTGTTGCCAGGTACTTCTATTGAGATGATTAACACATTATTATGCCCCATATAGAAGATGCCCTTATTTGTTTACTTTTTTTGTGATCTGCTAGATTTTTCACTGGGCATACAACTGATCCTCAAGGCAGACCCCAATTTGTAGCAGGGCAAACTAAAGTTGGTGATGCCATAGATGGCTTCATAAAGATTTTCACTGTTGCAGTATGTTCACTTTATTGTACTAAGTCGGATATTGTTTTTCCATAACATCTTTGGATTGTTAACTGATTTGGACAAAAATTCCAGGTGACTATTGTTGTTGTGGCGGTGCCTGAAGGTCTTCCTCTGGCTGTTACTCTGACGTAAGTTTATATAATTGCCCATCCTATGGTTGGTCCTGCACCCATCCTGTTGTAAACATCTAGATAGCAATGAAAGAGAAAATTCTTATCTTCCATATTGTGGATCGTCTCAGACATGTACATGTCTGTTGGAATCTTAACATTGTGCATTTGATATATTTCATACTCCTATCCTAAGAAAGTATCTTCTTTGTCATCTTCTGCGATGATATTAATCCATTTCATTTGTTTTTTTTTTTTGTTCCTTTCGAACATTTGTTCTTGTAATATATATACTCCGGTTGCTTTTTTGTCGCCCTTCACCTTTGGACATATTTTAAAAGCGCAAATTGTTTTATTTTTATTAACTTCATTTTAATATGTATATGGTCTCTTGTAGGTTGGCATATTCAATGAGGAAAATGATGGCTGACAAGGCATTGGTATGTCTACTTGCTGAGATATGAAAGCACAACTTACTTCTTATCCATAAATTTATTTTTACTATTTGTTCTGATCCATGCTACAAAATTGATTGATCATAGGTGAGGAGGCTATCAGCCTGTGAAACAATGGGATCTGCAACCACAATTTGTAGTGATAAAACTGGGACCCTAACTCTCAATCAGGTGCTTATCAGTTTTCTTTAACTTGGGATATGGGACCTGGAATTAGTTATCTAGCTAGTTTATTACTAGGGGATCTGCACTCTCTCTTTTTCTCTCTCTTTATTTTTGTTTTAGTGATGCTCATTTTCTGCTTTCCTTTTCTTTTTGTACAGATGACAGTAGTTGAGGCATATGCTTGTGGAAAGAAAATTGATCCGCCTGACAATAAATCTCTTGTTCCATCGAGGGTCATATCGTTACTTATTGAAGGCATTGCTCAAAACACAACTGGAAGTGTTTATGCATCTGAGGTATATTAACAGTGGGACATTAGATTGTGATATGGAGCTATTTATTTATTTATATCACAAAGAGGTGCGGGTAGGGGTAGCATTTTACTTGTAGGGGTAGGAGCTATTTATTTATCTATATTGTTTATGCGTTTCTCTTTTAAGATTGGATGCATAAATGGGTCCCTCTCTCCAGAGAGCCTGTGAGTTTACTATGAGTTTGTTTAATGTTTTTATTTGAAGATTATTTATTTATTTTTTATGTGAGATATAGAGAATTGTGTCGATAATATTAAAAATAATATTTTATGTTGAATATTGATTTTTGTGAAAGAAAATAATATATATTGAGAATCGTGTCGAAAACTATTTCTTGGACAAACAAACCCTACCTAATTTAAAAAGATCAGATTATTTATAAGAATCACCATTGTCTCCCTACTGATGGTTTTATGACCCTCTTAGAATCCATATTGTGATATGTGGTGTTTATGAAAATATGAAAACCTATAAGATGTAATAAACATGTTAGCTATTGGAGCTATTTTGAGATCGCTGGTTATATTTTTTTCTCCCAATGCAATTGTAATTCTTTTGTATTTGCAATACTTCTTTTTCTCATACAACATTTCATGCTCGTGGGTGTTGCTATTGCACCTAATTTTGTGCATAGTATTTGAATAACTGTGTCAAGGAGGTCTGTTCTGTACAGTAGTTTAGTTTTTGCTTTCTTTTTTGGGTGCCTATAAGATTTTAATGCAGGTCTCACCTGAGATAATGCAGTGAATCTGAACTTTGTATGAGGGATGATCATTGGCAGCATTAGAATACTACAAATTGATTTCTTGTTTGGCATATCTTTAATAGGATGGTGGAGCTTTGGAGATTTCCGGGTCACCAACAGAGAAGGCCATTCTGCAATGGGGATTGAATGTAATGCAGTTATTTTTATTTTACTCGTATACTCAATCTTATTTCTTATATCTACAGCATGTTTACATTGGTTTTGTTTTGTTGTGTAGCTTGGAATGGATTTCAAGACTGCCCGTACAAATTCAGACATCATCCATGCATTCCCGTTTAACTCAGAGAAAAAGCGTGGTGGTGTTGCTGTAAAACTGGTAATTTCTGATGTGTTTATTACTTTATTTTATAATCATTAGTTTATAGTGGCATAACTTGGAAGAACTTCCTTAATTTTCAACTTTCCCATTCCAAGTTTTTGATTTTTTGACTGCTTTTGTTTTTTCTGCAGTCAGATTCTGAAGTTCATGTGCACTGGAAAGGTGCTGCTGAAATTGTTCTTGCTTCTTGTACAAGTTACATAGATTCGGATGATAAAGTTGTCCAGATGGATGATGATAAGGTTTGGATATTACATGTTTTTATGAACTAATCGTTCTTTTATTATGAATGTGTGGCACAAATGATTTTTGTGGAAAGTAGAAAAATGTTGACTTTGTATTATCTAATATTTTCCTTGATTATTTAATTCAATGACAGTTATCTTACCTTCTGTTTCTTTGTTTGGTTTTATCTTTGCTTTACATGCCATTTCTAAAATAAAGTATATTCTTTTCTGCAGTTATTATATTTTAAGAAAGCAATTGAAGATATGGCTGCAGGAAGTTTGCGCTGTGTTGCTATTGCCTATAGGATGTGTGAAGTAGAGAAACTTCCAACCACTGATGAGGAACTAGAAAACTGGCAGCTCCCTGAGGGAGATCTTATTTTGTTAGCGATTGTTGGTATCAAGGTGCATATGACAATCCCTATTTTCATGAATAGCAATATTTAACTCTCCATTGAAATGAAGATGCATTATTATGTGAAAATGCTTTATCCTATGGCTTGAACTTTCCTGTGTATTTGGAGTAATACACAACATTCCATTCATTAGTTGTATTCAATTGATAACAATGGATGATCTTGTGTTCCTTTTACATGCATTTGTGTCATAGCGGAACGTGCTAATCTGTCAGCTCATCAAAATATTTGAACATGCTCTGTTTTGTCATGCATCTTTTCTTCATCCAATTCAATCATTAGGTTTCTTTACTTGATTGCATCCTTTTAATGGAAGTGCTTTTCTTATTTTCACTTGTGATTGAATATTCAGTGTCTTATGTTCTTACGAATATTTCTGATGTAGGATCCTTGTCGACCAAATGTGAGAGATGCAGTTCAGTTATGCATCAATGCTGGCGTTAAAGTATGCACAGTTCTCTTTTTTTACATGAATACTATATCCGTTTTACATTTTTAATTGCATTCTCCGGTGTATTTTGTTGATGGTGTTTGTCTTGCTTTGTGTGTATCTTTCTTAATCTTCTCACCTTTGTCATGCTTCTTTGCATGCCCCCCTGCAATAACTGTTACCCGGAATTTGTTTGTGACCTGAACTGTAAGATGGGTCACTGTCACCTTTATTTGTTGTCAGCAAAGACTATTTGCTCCGTGCATCTGGATTTCATGCTTCCAAATATTGCCTTAAGCTTTTGAAATCTTCTACTCTGTTTCCCTGTCTTTCTACTAGAGTGCCTGTTAACTAAACCTCTCATGCTAATTGATTATAAATTGGTAGGTTCGCATGGTGACTGGGGACAATCTTCAGACAGCTAAAGCAATTGCTTTAGAGTGTGGGATTTTAAGATCAATGGATGATGCTACTGAGCCAAATCTTATAGAAGGAAAGTCATTCCGTAACTTGACTGAAGCACAAAGATTAGAAGTGGCTGATAAGATTTCGGTATGGGAAAAAAACTGAACTGCTGGCTTGCATGGCTTATATACATGTGCATTTGTGTACATTATGGCCAATATTCTTATTAATGTCCTGACAGGTCATGGGAAGGTCATCACCCAATGATAAACTTCTGCTTGTGCAAGCTTTGCGGAAGAGGGGGCATGTTGTTGCAGTAACAGGAGATGGCACTAATGATGCCCCTGCACTTCATGAGGTTTGTTTTCTCCCTTGCTTTGATGTAGTTGATATGTCCTTTTGGTTTAAATGAGGAGAAGAATAACCAGTTCTGGGATAGTGCTTTATGTTACTCTCTTTCCTATGGCATCATCATATTGGGGGCATTTGGTTGTCAGGAGCAGTCGGTTATTTGACTTGTACATCCTTTTGTATCAGCTTTTTGATCTTTTTAAAATCAGATAAAGAGCAGGTTTGACAGTCTGAATTGATTTTTGATATGGTGCAATCTCTGATGATAATTTTATTAGTATAGTTTATAGGCCACACGTAGAATGGCGTTTGGAAATGCTAAGCTGGTTTGTCTTAGTTTTGCTTCAAATACTCTTAACTTAAAATGATATGGTTTACAATTCCATCATTGTGTAGGCTGATATTGGTCTAGCAATGGGAATTCAAGGGACAGAGGTTGCTAAGGAGAGCTCGGATATCATTATATTGGATGATAATTTTTCCTCTGTTGTGAAGGTATGTTTTCGTGTCTGAAAAATGATTCAGATTTTGTTGGTTTAGGAACCATTGTATGATATGGTTTAGGTTTCTTTCCTTGGATTCTGTGCTTCTTAATAGGCAATTTCCATGGGGGCAGAGTATCCTCTTTGATTTTCTAAAATATCTTGACAAATTTGATGTATTTCTTTGTTATATGGGGGCTCCATACCTCCTCTATGCCACTCTGTTGTAATTGTCTTAAACTTTCTGTTGGAAATGTATGTATGATCATCTTTGGTGAAAGAATGCATGATCATACCTAATATTCATTCAATCAAAGGCAACATTGCAGTTTACATTTTTGAGCAACTTTATGTTTCATGCAGGGTTAAATGTGGTCATGTTGATACCATATGCTGTTCAGTTGTTGATTTTATTAGTCAATTTCAGGTTGTGCGATGGGGTAGATCAGTGTACGCCAATATCCAGAAGTTTATACAATTTCAACTTACAGTTAATGTTGCAGCTCTAATTATCAATGTTGTGGCTGCTATTTCTTCTGGTAATGTTCCACTCAACGCAGTGCAGGTGTGTAACCTCTCTCTTCTATCTGCCTGTTTGCATGGGTTTGGTGCTGTTTTTTATTATGGTTGGTTGGTCTGAAATGACAATCTATTGGTTTCCGTTTTGGAAACCAATTTCTTTTGTCCTCTCTCCAGCTTCTTTGGGTAAATCTTATCATGGACACACTTGGCGCCCTTGCTCTGGCCACAGAACCTCCTACAGATCACCTTATGTCTAGACCTCCCGTTGGTAGAAGGTTAGACTTATCCATGTCTCGTGGAATCCTATTTTGTTTACGTAAATGAAACTAGTTTCTCTTCTGCCTATTGGTTTGCCTTGCACATTTTCCTCTTGCCCACTAGCCAAAGTGATTAAAAATTGCTCACTTTTACTCTGGCATTTAGTGGCTTCCAGAATGTACCGTTGAACGTAATTCATCCCATTAGATAGTAACCCAAAACTGAAATTCTTGAAGATAGTAATTCATCACTTTTACACTTGTCTTGTTAAGTACTTGCAGTGTGCAGTACATTAGAAGATAAAATTACTCCTTTTATTTTTTAGCCCATCACAACATTTTACCCTGAAGTTTTCCGGGTTTGTTTGGAACACTGGGGTTACTAGTAGTTAGTATTACATTTCTTTTTGTATAGGACAAAAGAATTAGTTATGTTGCAGTTGGCACTAAGATAAGTGTGCACCATTGGAGTCTTAACATTACTTATTATAATAGCAGTTGTAAGATGAGGGTGCAACATTGGAGTCTTAACATTGACATCTATAGTAATAGCAGTGATGGCAGTTGTATATAAACCCACTCCCTCTGTGTAAGAAATATGAAATAGGACAGGGATTTCATGTGTTGGCATCTAATTTTTGTATGCATGTATACTTCATTTGGTGATTCATATTTTACCTGAATACTGTTAAATAAGTTATTTTTGCTGTTTCAGGGAACCTCTGATAACAAATATCATGTGGAGGAATTTGCTAATACAGGTATCAGACATGTTTTTGGGTACTGTAAAAGTGCATTTGATGTTTGACTGGACAAATGGCTAATCCAATTTCTCTTGATCATAATCCTTGGCACTGGAATGAACTTAGGCTCTCTATCAAGTAACGGTTCTTTTAGTCCTCAATTTCCGGGGAAGGAAAATCCTGAATCTAGAGACCGATACCAGCGACCATGCTTTCAAAGTGAAGAACACACTGATTTTCAATGCATTTGTTTTCTGTCAGGTAAGCTATATATCAAATATAATCTACTAATGTAAGACTTCTGTAATAAGAAATATAATCTACTAATGTATGTCTTCTCAATGGGAATGTTGTAGATATTTAATGAGTTTAATGCTCGAAAGCCGGATGAACTCAATGTTTGGAAAGGAGTAACTAGAAACCATCTCTTCATGGGGATAGTTGGGCTTGAAGTGGTACTTCAGGTGAGATTTTTGTTTACCACCTCTACTGAAGGGAACCCACTGGTTTGTATACTTCACAGTATCTATCTTATTTGCTTGTTTGTATTGTATACTCTCCCCTCTAGGTTATCATCATCTTTTTCCTTGGAAAGTTCACAACAACAGTCCGGCTCAGTTGGAAACTGTGGCTTGTTTCAATTGTAATTGGCTTTATCAGGTATGTATAGTATAGATATGGAGAGAGTCTCCTCATGTCCCGTCTCACAACAGCCATGAAATTCTTGTATCTGATCTAATAGAGTCTTGCTTCTCTGTTTCTTAATTATCAGCTGGCCTCTTGCTATGGTTGGAAAACTTATACCTGTACCAGAGAGACCATTTGGTGAATATTTTACCAAGAAAATTCGGAGAAACAAGGAGTCAAGTGGTATGTATTATGTATATGTGTGTATGTATACACGTGATGTTTCTGAAATGAATCTGACTATGACTAGTTGTTGTTGTGCATTGAATATTGAATTCAGGCAAGGAAAATGCAGCTATGGAGGAAGGAGGCTGACTTTTGTACAGACAACATGACAGAGATACAATACATAAAAAAAGAGAAGAAATCAACTAACTTTTTTTTCTAGGTGTGCTGTTCTGTTTCAAATTTGAACTAACAAAGTTGGTTTGTTTTTATTACTTCTGATTGATCATAGGGTTGGTGGTATTATCTTCACATATATATATTATATCTAGGTTAACTGAAAACTCAAAGAAGTACATAAATTACTATCTTGTGTCCGTCTGTCTGTCTCTCTCACTCTGGTTTTATGCTGTTTGGAATGAATGAATTATTGAAAATACATTGTCTAACTATGCTTCAGAATTTGATATGTATAAATTTCAATTTGACCTGGACTACTGCAGGCTGGTGATATGATGATGATAACATCTAGCTAGCTTAGCTGGTCATATAATATAATTAGTCATCTCATTTGATCTCATCTCATCTCATATCTTTGGTTCCAACTCGTCCATATTTTTACCCTATATAAAACAAAACTACTTGTTAATAATTATAGCCAGCCGTCCAGCAAGACCTATCTTCGTTGCTTGGCTACAGTTAAAGTCCCATTCATTCCCTACTACTATCACACAACATTATAAAACAAACAAATAAAAATTGAGAGAGAGAGAGAGGTTGTCCTTATAAATCCATTCAATTAGCTGCCCGCTAGAGGAGAAGATACATTGATTTACGTCCACAAATATTATCCCGTGTGCACATACAAAAGGTCATTGAGTGGACCTGAATTATGGAAAAAAATAGCCAAAGAAGCACCCCTCTTCTGTGGTTGAAAAGAAATATGTCGGGAGGTCATTAACTATGAGATGTTGGGAACTAAATAAGCCCCCAAGATGCCACAGCGCTTAACAATGTTTTTCTCTTTTTAAATTGAATTGGATCTTGTGAACCAATATGTTTAGACAGTGTGGTGTGAATTGTAGGAGTTTCAATATTGTATGTATGCTAAAAGCTCTTGGGATTTGTTTGTATGTTTATGTATTGTGATTTTTTTTTTGTAGGATTTGCTATGAATGCAGACATGGTTATGTGTTGCGATTTGTTTAGTTTATGTGTTGTGATTTGGTTGTGGAATTTGTTTATAGATGGCTCACAAATTGCATAATAGCCATGTTTAAACACGGGCATGTCAGACTAGCATGTCCTTATTCAACCTCCCAACATTCCTGTTTTAGACACGGCCATGTGCCAACTCTTATTTGCGAAATAACGGTTGTATCTTTAAAAATATAGCTATGTTGTTAATACATAATAGTACAGGGCGATAGACATGCCCATGTATCAGGCCGTGTATAGGAAGCACGATCGTGTTAATATTATATACAACCATGTTTAAAAAATAAAACAGTACTATGGTGTGTATACATGGTTGTGTATTAGGCGTTGCATAGGAAACAAAACCTTATATTTATGTACACAGTTGTATTTGTCATGGACAATATATTTCTTTTTTTATCGAAAAGATCAAGGGTTTTATATTTACATTCACGTAAGAATATTAACATCTAGGTTGTGTACTAGGCCCTGCATAGGAAACACAACCTTATTTTTATATATAGTTGTATTTGTCACGAATTATGTTTTCTTTTATAAAAAAGATCAAGAGTTTTATATTTATACTAAAGTAAAAATATTAACATCTACACCAGACATACCTGAAAAAGACAAACCGCAGAACAAACACCGTAAGTAAGCCTCAAGAGTCTAGAACAAAGTGGAGTAATGTTACAAAAGCTCCATTAACAAAGAAACTAAGGGTGTGTTTCTTTAGGCCGGTTTGAAGAAAATTAAGATTGAGTTTGGTTTTTGTTTGAAATTTAAGATAGGTTTAAATTTTTTTTGTTTCTTTTGTGTATATGTTTGGTTTGGGTTTTAAGGGTTTTGATATGTATTGATTTGACGGGTAATAAATATAATATAAATGTGTATTTATTTGTATAATTTGATTATAAATTTATATTATATCTACATAAATATTTTTATTTTTTTTATTTATATTATAAAAAATTTAATTTTGTACAAAATGCCATATGTATGACAAACAAAAAGAAAAAAAAAAAAAACACGCAAACGGCCTGCAGTTTATCTGCCAAACAAAGGACAACCCAATTTGGGGAATTCGAGCAAGCCAAAAGAAATTGCAGACGACTCTATGACAAGAAAATCTAACTCAACCAAATAAATCGGAAATTCAACATATCAAACCAAGTCAACCTCACAGGATAAAGTGTATGCGCACATGCTCTCTGAAAGTGTATATAATCAGCTAACGCTCAAGTAGTGCGACAAAAGATTATCCCATAGGCTTGAATGATAATCAAATCTCCCTTGCATAAGATACTCGAATCTAACATCAAGAATTAAAGGGATTTTTTTATAAAGGTTGTAACGGGGCTGATGGTTAGGGGTAGAAAAAAGGATATGCGAAGGCTAATATATGTTAAAAAAGAACACAATAAGAACACGATACTAGCATATGAAAAACAATTCGGCATAAACAATGAAACCCTTACTTTATTCACTACCCAAACTTTAATAACATAATTATATCAATCCTACTTCATCAAGGTTTATTTTATTTTTAATTTTTTTTGGGGCCTTTTTTTTTTTTTTTTTTGGCCTTTCTTTAAATATATATATATATATATATACACGCCTTTCACTACCCGTTCTCATTGAAGCAGACACTTCTGATACTCAAACTTCGTTTCTACCTGGTGCCAAACAAATAAGGTCCATCACAACATGAATTTAAGGTAATTCTTTCTAACATAGGGTTCAAATCGGAGAAGAATTAATATCAAAAGAAGGGTATGAGACTAAAATACAGTTTAATATAGAAGGTTGAATGATAGATGGTGTGGTAAGGAGATTTTTTATTTGATCAAAATCTTGTTTGCAGCTTTTATCAAACTCAAATAAGATATCCTTTTGTAAAAGCAAAAACAATGGGCTCACCACCTTAGAGAAATCCTTGATGAATCGTTGATAAAAACCTTCATGACCAAGAAAAGAGCGCAATTCCGTCACCGAAGTGGGGTAGGATAAGGTAGTAATAGTGTCTATCTTTGCCTTGTCAACCTCTATTTCTCTTGAAGAGACCAAGTGACCTAGAACAATTCCATCTTCAACCATAAACTGACATTTTTCCCAATTAAGAACCAATGTCATTTCAATGCATCTTTGCAAGACTAAGACCAAGTTATCTAAACATGCATCAAAATTATCACCATACACACTACAATCATCCATGAATACTTCAATGATCTTACCGACATATTCTGAAAAAATACTTATCATGCACCGTTGAAAAGTAGCTGGAGCGTTACAAGCCCAAATGGCATCCGCCTATATGCAAAAGTGCCATAGGGGCATGTAAATGTCGTCTTCTCTTGATCTTCCGGTACTATGGTAATCTGGAAGTACACTAAAAATCCATCTAAAAAACAGTAGTGAGATTTTCCTGCTATTCGCTCAATCATTTGATCAATAAAAGGTAAGAGAAAAGGGTATTTTCTTGTGACGGCGTTCAACCTACGGTAGTCGATACACTGGCACCATCCAGTTTGTTTCCTAACTAGAATCAACTTACTATCATTGTCAGCCTCAACCGTAACTCCTGCTTTCTTAGGCACCACATGAATCGGACTTACCCATGGACTATCTGCGATAGCATAAATAATTTCGACATCCAATAGTTTCAAAATCTCTTTCTTCACCACTTCCATCATCACATGATTCAATCGCCTTTGAGATTGCCTTACTGCTTTTGCATTCTCCTTCAACACAATGCGATGTGTGCAAAGGAAGGGGCTGATGTCTTTTATGTCATCTATGGTCCAACCAATAGCTTATTTGTGCTTTCTCAACATCTGAATCAATCGCTCCTCTTGGATTTGAGAAAGGGAAGCTGATATGATAACAAACAAGGTTTCTTTCTCTCATAGAAAAACATATTTAAGCTTATCAGGGAATGACTTCATCTCTAGATCCGGAACTTGCAAAACAGAGGGCAATATTTTTTGTTTAGATTCACTTAAAGGCAACGTTGCTTGTTCTAACCTGGTCGTCTTGAATTCCGAAGACTGCAGTGCGTGCATTGCTTCCCTTAGCTGTGAATTCATCAATTTTTTTGCATTGAATTGCACATCACGATGGTATTCCAGAAAAATCTCCAAAGGGTCTCTTCCACTTAAATAAAAAATTTCCTGCATGTTCTCATAAAAAACATCCAAGCTATAAAAAACGCTAGATTCTCCAGGGTATTTCATAGCATCGGAAATATTAAACTGTACTTTCTCACCATCAAACTCCATAGAAAGTATACCCTGCTTGACATCTATTTTAGTTTGCACAGTGCACATAAATGGTCTACCAAGCAATATCGGTGAAGGATTTGGAGAGTTATCATTATGCATGTCAAGCACATAAAAATCCACTGGAAAAATTAATTCATTAACCTGCAGTAGGACATCTTCAATCATTTCTTCAGGGTAAGCATTAGTCCTATCATCTAGTTGTATCATAATCCTAATCTCTTTTAATGGCCCAACATTTAGAGATTTATTAATAGACGTAGGCATCACATTAATTGCAACTTCTAAATCTAACATTACTCGTTTAATCTCCAACTTACCTATCTTACAAGGAACCGAGAACATACCTGGATCGCCACATTTAAGAGGGAGTTTACATTGTATAATAACAGATACGCTCTCGCGAGCAATAATGCACTCATCTCCTCGCAATCTCTTTTTATTCGTGCAAAGTTCCTTAAAAAATTTGGCATACTTCAGAACTTTTTTGATAGCATCTAGCAAAGTTATGCTCAGTTCCACTTTTCTAAACATCTCCATCATCTCCTTGTTTTTATCACTCTTCCTCGGTTTCTTTAACCTGCAAGGAAATGATGCGGCGTTAGTCTTAGGGTAAATAGGCGTTTCAGAAGTTACCTTGTTTGTTTTTTCATGAGCAGCTTTCTCTATCTCTCTTTCGATCTCTTCTTTATCCTTGTCCTTTGAAATTTCAATTTTAGGTCCTTCTAATTCCTTTCCGCTTCGTAAAACCATCGAGCTCACGTTCTTCGGATTAGCGTCAGGCCATGCAAGCAATTTACCTTTCTCCTTTGATTTCATCTCGCGCATCTCATTCGCTATTTGACTCACTTGTTCTTCCAAGCTCTTTATGTTGTTCCGAGTATCTTGTTGAAATTGTAACATGTTAGACGCCATAGTTTTTATATATCCTGTAAAGAGTTATTTGGAACCGTTTAAGGAGGTTGTTGATTGTGATTGCGTGGGCGGAATCCTTGTGAAGGACCTTCGACACGTGCTTGTTGATTTCCATATTTCAAATTGGGGTGATCCCTCCATCTTGGAGTATAGGTGTTTGAGAAGGGGTTGTATGCTCTAGGGGCGAATCTCGCAGCATTGACATCCACTCTTTGAGTCATAGTGGGACAGGCATCACAAGGGTGTTCCGTGCTAGTGCATATTCCACATGCCTTAACTTGTGCATTTCCTATAGCCATATGTCGAACAATTGAAGTTAGTTTGCTTAATTGTTTTTGTAGAGAGCTTACCTTATTTGCCTCTTTCACTGCTGCGAGTTCATAGCCATGTCATTCAGTAGATCCCACGCATCTCTAGGGATCTTGTTCATCAAAGCTCATCCACTTGCTGCGTCTATGATCCTCCTATCGATGAAAGTCAAACTTTCATAAAAATATTGAATTAGTAACTGTTCAGGGATTTGATGTTAGGACATCGCATAATTAAAACATTAAATGGGTCCCAATACTCAAATAAAGATTCCCCTGTTTGTTGTTTGATCCCGCATATTTCTTTCCTTATGTTCGTAGCTCGTGAGGCAGGAAAGTACTTCTCAAGAAACTTTCTTTTCATGTCAGTCCATCTGTTGACGCTTCCAGCAGGTAGATTGAATAGCCAATATTTTGCAGCATCTTTCAGTGAGAAGGGAAAAATACGAAGCTTGATTTGATCTTCTGTTACTCCTTGTGGCTTTATACTTGTGCAGACGACATCAAGTTCTTGAAGATGCTTATGTGGCTCTTCTCCTAGAAACCTATGGAAAGAAGGCAACAAGTGTATTAGTCCTGATTTTACTTCAAAAGCATTGTTACCGTATACCGTCGGGTATGTGATGCAGAGATGCTGCTGGGTCAAGTTAGGGGCTGCCAGCTCCTTTAATGTCCTCTGATCCATCTTTTCTTCTAGCTCCATCTCGTCAGAACTAAAATCTCTAGATGATTCTGAAGCTAAATCTTTTTTGCGATGCTCCCTAGTTTCTTTTCTTAATCGATGCACAATCTTCTCAATCTCGGGATCGAAACTCAAGATTCCTGTGCGATCAGATCTCGACATAAACAAAAAAAAAATAAGATTTGTTAGATAATAGATAAAAACCAAAGATAAATAAACCAATTAAAATTCCCCGGCAACAGTGCCAAAATTTGATAGACGTTTGTCATATGCTGCAAAATTTAAATAAAATAAACCTACTTCTACAATAAAAATAACGTAGTATAGATGAAGTAGGGTCATCTCTCCAGGTAATTAAAAAGGTTTTATTTTCGATTTTTTAATTTATAAATATAATAAAAAGTGGGGATTTTGGAAGTAAGAAATAAAAATAAAATAACAAACTAAAAACTCTACGACTAAAAGATAAATTCAATAAAAATAAGTTTCCAGTCTAGGAATGAAATTGACAACTTGGGTAGTGGATTTGATCATCGAAAAATATATAATTTTATTGGTTTCTAAATAAATTAGTTATAGTTACCGATACGCACCTGATAACCAACTTTTCCTTAATTTCTCGACAGTTTAGGTACGCCCGTCAACTGCTTCCTTTGTTAGAATAGAACTCTAGTGACACCACAAATAATTTACTAGCCTAACTGTCTTGCGAACTAGAAGAGTCTAATTCAATTTAACAATTACCTATGCAAAATTGTTTAAAATTTATTATGTCATTTCCTAATGATGTCTACCACTAGTTGCTACTTGAACCAAATTAAAACGCAATTACGGACTCCTAATTTAGTTTAACAATTAATCCTTAATTCAATTGAAACACCTGACCACAATACCCAACCAAATAAAAGATTATAACTCAAAGAAATCAGAAATCACAGAAATACTTAAGAACCAAAAAAATATCATAAATCAAAACAAGTCTAATCTCCCAAATCCATACCAAGTTATTTTTCACTCCTAGACTATAAAAGTAAACTATTCGCTAATCATAGGAGGAAGAACAAATGAAGCAAATAGAAACATTGCCTGAAAATGATGTTGGTAGTGGTAGAACTCGAAATCTTCTTGGAAGAATTTTTCTCCTTTTTGCCCTTGCACGGTTTCTCCCTGGGACTGTTCTGCCCGGTGTTCTCCTCGGCAAGTGGCAAGTGGCATAAGTGGCACCCCCTCCTTCTTTCTTTCCTTTATATTTGCCCTAATTTTGTAACAATTGGACTTTGGACATTTTTGTTATCTTTTCCCACTAATTATATTAAATTCTATTATTTTTCTCTTGCAAATTATAAATAAATAATATATACCCAAATCAGGTAGAATCTAATAAAAATCAATCAAATATCGCAAATAATATAAATATTTAACACATGCGATTTATGACTATCAAATACATTACTATCTTTTTTGGAGGCAATGAATTCATTAAAATCTACATCCACAAATACATGAAAGAAGGCGAGTCACTTGTTGTTGCACTGAGTGTGTTAATTTGTTGTTTCTAAATTTGTTTCTTATGGATGATCTACGAGGATTTGGCTCGGACGGAAGAATGTTGACATTAGTTTCTTAGCCAATTCAATAACGCTATTAATCTTGGTCTCTTGAGTGTTTAATTGATATTTGAGAAGCATCAAATAAGTCCAAAGTGAAATACTTTGCAAAACAATGAGATGAAAGAAGATGATTGAGTGATATATATATATATATATATGTAAAAATAATTCTCCCTCTGTCCCACGTACTGTGTCTACTACACTGTATTTTAGGAAGGATGTAATTAGTAGATAATTAAAAATATATTAGTGAAAATAATTACTTTATAATATAAATAATTATAAATTAAGATTAAGATAACTAATTAGTTTAATTAAAATTAAAAAAAATAAATTAAAAAGTTTAAAATTACATTAAAGTGTGTAATTATTTTCCAAAAAAAGAAAGTGACATGAAATATAAGACGGACAGAAACGGCAATGTGGACATGATATGTGAGACGGAGCGAGTAATAAATTTGTAATGAGAAACCGGAAAATTTATATTGAAATACCAATATCAGAACATGAAAATGCACAAATTTCGAAACCTAAAAGAGAATGAGAAATAAAAATAATGGTCGTAATTGCCTCGTGAGGCTCCACTCCAACCTCTCGTCCTTTCCGTTAGTGTCTCTAAACTTAACAAATAAAATATTAATTTATTATCATTATTATTGATATATAGAATTAGATTTATATATTATTATAATACAAATATATTATCGATGGTTGCACATTCATTTAGGTGGGCCCACCTCCAACATATTATGAAGAATCACATGTAATATTTTTTAATTTTTTGATCTATTTATTTCAACAACATAAGGATTAACGGACATTTGGTATAAAAATGAAATTGTAGATAAATAAAAATGGATAATAGAATGGTAGAGAAAATAAATTAAGTAGAGAATAAAAATTAATCATCTGATTTGGTAAAACATAAAATTTTATTGAGAAATGTAAAAAAATGCAGCTATTTGAATTAATCGATTAAGAATAAATGATTAATCGGGCAAGAAAAAAAAATTGTAATTGTGAAAATTTATGAAAAAATACTTTTGATATTTTTTGTTTTAATAATAAATTAGATACGATGTTTTGTAAGATCAAATTTTTAGTATAATCTTTTTTTTTTAAAAAAAAAAAAACTAGTAAAAAATACATATCTAAATAATAAATTAATTGTGATGTTTTATAAAATTGAAATAATATAATTTAAAAAAATATAAAATTAAATAATAAATAAAATATACTGCCATCAATATACAATTTTCTACATTTATTTCTCTTTATATATATATATATATATGACAGAGAAATGAAATTAGAAAATGAGAAATAATTTATTTTTTAGTTTTCATTTCTCTAAATCAATCAAAAAAAAAATGAAAATGAAAATGAGATCATTTCCATTTCCTTGCCCTTATTTTTCTTGTACCAAACACACCCTAGTGCCAAATCTCTAAAGACATCTAACAATTGTTCTATTGAATATACAACGCAATACAAAATTATCAATCTTCTATTAATTTTAATTTTTTTTATTTATTTTTCGGAAAGTTAAAAAAAAATTGGTTTGACGATAGTAATTTGGAAATAAGGATTGCTTGTATAAATTGGAATGTTTTTGTTATATTGAGTAGAAAAATATTATAAAAAATTTTATCCAAAAGAATAATGTGGCAAAATTGGTAGTTTATTGGTAAAATTGGGTAACATTTACAAAATAGAGAAATTTAAGAAAAGAATATAAATACTAATTGAAAATGAAAATGAAAATGAAAAGATTATACATTTTAGAGGTTTATTCTGTTGTGTACTCAACGCAACTTGCGGAAGTCCTTCTACTTGTCCGTCCGTCCGTCCGTCCGTACACACCTTCTCTCTCTAGATCTGTTTCTCAGTCATCTCTCACTCTATATTTTAGTTTGTATATATTATATTTCTAGCACCACCCACCCACCCACCCACCTACCATATATATATATATATCGTGTATTTACGGACATTCCAAATACGCAGATTTTTCTTTATAGAGAAAAATAATAATATAATTAAAAAACGATTAATTTCTTTGATTCATCGTTTCTGGTTGGGATTGAGATCATCGATAGGTCTCTCCAACAAATCTTTCACATATATATATAAATTAAAGAGAATTTTTGTTTTTGTTTTGGCGTATGTAAAGATGATGTACGAACAGCAGCAGCAGATAAAGATGGATGTGATGAGGGGGAAGGGTTTGCAGCAGCAGGAGGTTACAGCAAGGAAGATTAGCAATAATATGGGATTGGGAATTCATGAGGAAGAAGAAGACGACGACCACATCCATTCATCATCATCTTCTTATAATATGAATATGGAAATAGTGGACCTGAGTGGGATGTCTTTGGATACTCTCCCAAACCCTCCTTTCCATTTGGCCAACATCTGCAAATTGGACCTCTCCAACAACAATCTCCAGGTCTCTCTCTCTCTCTCTCTCTCTCTCTAGGGTTAATTAGGGTAATTATATATATATATATATATATTTGATCTGAGTTTATGAGATGAAATGATACTAAGGTTATGTTTGGTACGGAGAAAAAGAAAAAAAAATTGTGTCATTTCTTTTAGTTGTTTGAGTCCGACAAATAGAACTTCGAGAAATAAATCATTTTTATTTTTCTGTTTTTATTTCTCTTTCTCTCTCGTATGCACAAGAAATGAAGAGAAATGATGTTGCAGTATATTTTTATTAATTTTTTTTAATCTTATTGGTACTATTTAATTTTTATAGTTTTTTTTAAAGTTATATTATTTCAATTTTACAAAAATTTTACGATCTTTTAAGAAATTGTACTAAAATATAATTTTAAAAAACATTGCATATAATTTATATATATATATATTTTTTTAAAAAAAGAACCATAAAAATATTTTTCATGCATTCTCATTGATTAAAACTCTTTTTTTTTTTTTTTATCAAGTTAATCAATTCTCATTCATTCTGCATTTTTTTACATTTTTGAACTAAATTATCTCTTTCACTAAAGAAGTGAATTAATTCTCATTTTCTATTCAATTCAATTTATCTTCAATTTCATTCTTTACTCTCATTTGTCTGTAGTTCCATTATCGGTGCCAAATGCCCATGAGAGTTAATTATATTGTATTTTAGTGATTATATTAAATAATTAATTAATATATATATATATATATATATAAATATATAATGATGGATGATTGATTGATGGAGGTGCAGAAGATTCCAGAATCACTAACGGCTCGGCTGCTGAACGTGATGGTATTAGATGTCCGGTCGAATCAGCTAAGGTGTCTCCCTAATTCAATCGGCTGTTTGACAAAGCTCAAAATCTTGAATGTATCGGGCAACCTCATTCACTCGCTTCCTACCACCATCGGATCCTGCACGTAAGTATTTTAATTTAATTTGGGGAACAAATTATTTTCGGTCCCAATACAATCAAAATTCATCAATTTTGGTTCAAATATAAAAATTTTATCAATTTTGGTTCCAATATGACCAAAACTCATCATTTTTTGTCTCAATATAAAAATTTTATCAATTTTAGTCCAATATAACCAAAACTCATCATTTTTTGTCCCAATATAATCAAACCTTATTTTTTTGGTCACACCGTCAACAAATCGACGAAAAATGCTGACGTGGACTTGCAAAATTGTGCAATTTTTTCAAATATAAATATAAGGTTTGATTTCTTTTCACGTCAGTATTTTTCGTCGGACAGTAAAACCAAAAAAGATAATGTTTGATTATATTGAGACAAAAAATGATAGAGTTTTGGTTATATTGAGACTAAAATTGATAAAAAAAAAAAATTATATTTGGACAAAAAATAATGAGTTTTGGTTATATTGGGACAAAAATGGATGAATTTTGGTTATATTAAACTAAAATTGATAAAACTTTTATATTGAGATCAAAATTGATGAATTTTAGTTATATTGAGACAAAAAATAATTTTTTTCCCTTTAATTTAATTTAATTTAATTAAATCTTGATTTTTGTTTTTAAATGTTGCCTGTCTAGTCTAAGTTATAAGTTAGTTAGTTTCACATATAATGAATGATTGATTGCATCAACCTCCTCAATTAATATATATATATATATATATATATAATCCCAGTCATCGATGACAGGATGCAAAAGTCAACCCTCGTTTCTTGTATGCGTTGACTTTATTTCGTTTTATTTTTCTGGGTTTCTATGTAATTAGTTAATTGCAGACTTTTTCATCAGCGGGTCTGTTTCATATTCCTACACCATATATGATAATATATATATATATATATATACAATTGTATTAGAGGTGCATGGGGCTGAACAGCATAAGGGCTAAGAATCCCCTCCCATATATATATATATATATTAAATAGTCCTCCCTCCGTCCCAGATACCATGTCCATGTTGCCGTTTCTATCCGTCTCACATACCATGTCATTTTCTTTTTTTAAAAAATAATTACACGCTTTAATCTCATTTTAAATTTTTAAATTTTATTATTATTTTTTAATTTTAATTAAACTAATTAGTTATCTTAATCTTAATTTATAATTATTTTTTCTAATATATTTTTAATTATATACTAATTACACCCCTCCTAAAATACCGTGTCTACACTGTAGCAGACACGGTATCAGGGACGGAGGGAGTACCATATTAATTTAAGGGTGTGTTTCTTCTTATTAAGTTTGGAAAAATTAGATTTGTATTTGAATTTTAGGTTGTGTTTTTATGTTTATTTTGATTTATAGGTTGGATTTGATTTTTGAGATTTTGATGTGTATTGAATATATATAAAATATGTATTAAAATAAATTTATGAAATTAATAATAGGGTAATTTGAATATTAATTTGTGTTAATTATAAATAAATATTTAAATTTTTTATGTAATTATAATATATAAAATTTTATTTTTTATAAAATGACATGTTTATATTTTATTAAATTATTATTATTAAAAAAATTAAAATTATTTATGAATATTCATAAATTGTGATTCTTAAAATAGAAAAGAAAAGTCAAACGGACATGACTTACGCCGTAGCCGCAGATAGTGTCGGTATAAGGGCAGTTTCGCATCCAGAGTCGATTCAACAGTACCATAACAGTAAAAAACACTCGAACCTTGATTGTAGAAACACACCTTAAATATTTTATCGTGTAATTTGTATTACACAATCAAACCATCTACATATACTTGAAGAGATTTTTTTAGTCATGAATTTCTCATCTACAAAAGCTCTGTAATGGAGACTATAATCGTTTAGATATGTTTTAATTTTTTTTCTAAAGGTGTGTTCTTTCGAGAAATTTGAATTTGAGTTTAGATTAAATTTAATTTTTTTTATTCTTTTTATGTTTGTAGATTTGGTTTGAGTTTGAGTTTATATTAAATTTGAATTATAATATAAGTTTGGATTTTTATGTCGCTTTAAAATTGTAGTTTTGGTTTAGACTTGAATTGTAAGATAGTTTAGATTTTTTATGTTCTTTTAGATGTGTAGATTTGGTTTGAGTTTTTAGAATTTTGATTTGTATTAATTTGATAGGTAATAATTTTTTTAAGTATAAAAGTATTATTTGTATATATTATTTTTGTAAATTAAAAATAATATTAAGAAAAATTTTGTTAACCAAAATGCATCGATAATTTTTTGTTAATTTGTTTTTTTTTTTTTTTAACAAAATAGTAGAAAATGCAATTAAACTTAAGCTTTTTAGAACCTACCATGGTAGACTGCATTGATTATCTCATAGGGTGTGTTTTTTTTTAGGCGGAATAGAAAAAATTGGGTTTGATTTTGATTTTTATTTGAATTTTAAAATAGATTTGAATTTTTGTATTTTTTTTTTTTTTGTGTATGTTTGAGTTGAGTTTGAAGATTTTGATATATATTGATTTGATGGATAATAAATATAATAACATAAATATGTATTACTTTATATAATTCTATTATAAATTTATATGATATCTATGTATATATATATTTTAAATTTTTATTTATTTATATTATAAAAAAATGTATTTTCTACGAAAATGACATATATATTGTATATATTTTATTAAATTATAATTAATATAAAAATTTTAATTTTAATTTATAATTAGCAAAAAAAACTAAACCCACGAGGCCAGCAACTTTGTCTGTCAACCAAGAGACAACCCCAGTTTGGAGAGTTTTACTGTGAGTGTTTGCAAAGTAAAACTCCCAAATCTTGGTGTTTGCACAGTAAAACTTTCCAAACTTATTCCGAAGAAACATGCTTTGTGTTGTGGATCCTCCCATTACTAATAAAAAGTTAAATAAAAAATGAAAAATTACATTGAATTAATGTAACAATTTTTATATAGAATACAGTAGTTTTATTTTATCTAATCAAGTACTTACTTTATTATTATTATCATTATCTTTATCAAAAAATTTTATTCTATATATGCTATGAATTCATATGCATATTATAGCATAATGATCCAATCTCATTTTTTTATTATTTTCAAAACAAAATATTAATAGTATTGGTTTATATATATGCTATCTAGTAGTAGTATTCATTCTACTACCTTAATTGTATATATATATATATATATATAATATAGGCTTGCTTTATATGCAATTTTAGAAGTTTTATATATAATATTTGATGGTAATAAAAAAATTAAATAAAACATTAATCTTTACATTGAATTAATGTAATATTTTTAATATAGAATATAATATTTATTTAATCTCATCAAGTATTTACTTTGTATTTATTATTATTTTTTACTATTTTCAAAACCAAATATACTATTGGATTATATATATACTTAAGGCTTTCTTTATATATAATTTTACAGAGTTTTAAAAATTTTAAAAAATTAAAAGAATTTATTTGCTTGTGTTTTCATGATTCAATTTTTAGAATTCACTCAATATATATATATATTTTTTTTCCAAAACCATGTTACATCAAATATTTATTATGTATTCAATATATTAATTTTAAAAAAATTATTGAAAATATCGGCTTGCAATGTTATTTTTAAAACAAAATCAATTATAAAAAATTGAATACTCTCTCTATCTCTACCACGGGACGGATGAAGTATTTGACTTGATATTTCATTAAGGGTTTATTTCTCTTGGGCTAGAGGGGCTCTGGAAGACAGACTTTATTATTTTTTTTTAAAAAAAATTATAATAATTATAATTTAATAAAATACATACAATATATGTCATTTTGTAGAGAATAAAATTTTTTATAATACAAATAAATAAAAATTTAAAATATATATAAATATAATATAAATTTATAATTAAATTATACAAATTACTATACATTTATATTATTATATTCATACTTATCAAATCAATACACATCAAAATTCCTTAAACTCTAACCAAACCCAAAAGAAACATCAAAATTTAAACTCTATCTCAAAATTCAAATAAAAATCAAACCCAAACTCAAATTTCCCCAAAACTTTCGAAAGAAACACGCCCTAAAAAAAAATGTAATTGATGTAATATTTTTTATAAGTAGTACCAATAGAGATATTTGAAGGAATCTCAAAGGATATAGAATATACCTGCAGATCCCTGGAAGAACTGAATGCAAACTTCAATCAGCTCCGGCAGCTCCCTGACAGCATCGGGTTCGACCTCCAAAGCCTCAAGAAACTCTCAGTGAACTCCAACAAGTTGGTGCTCCTCCCTCGCTCCACCTCCCACCTAACCAACCTCCGAATTCTCGACGCCCGCCTCAACTGCCTCCGAGCCCTCCCAGACGACCTCGACAACCTCATCAATCTCCAAGTCCTCAACGTCAGCCAGAACTTCCAGTACCTCTCATCCCTCCCCTACACTCTCGGCTTCCTCATCTCCCTCGTCGACCTCGACGTCAGCTACAACAATATTTCCTTTCTGCCCCATTCCATCGGCAGCCTCAAGAAGCTCCACAAGCTCTGCGTCGAAGGGAATCCGCTGGTCTCGCCCCCTCCGGAGGTGATCGAGCAGGGCCTGCCAATGGTGAAGGAATACCTTTGTGAGAAGAACAAGATGAACGGGAGGCGGCAAGGCGTTTCCCCGAAGAAGAAGTCGTGGTTCGGGAAGCTGACAAAGTGCGGGACGTTTAGCGGGGTGAATCATGTGGGGGTAGAGAATGAGCGGGATGGGTACATTATGCCGAGCTACCGGTCGATAGATGGGATGACTTCGCCGCGGTACATGGGGATGTTCTCACCCCGCCGTCTTTTCTCGCCCAAGTCCTATTTTTCGAGATGAATCTATATATAGATACATATGTGTTTGTGCTACATTTTATGCATGTGATTTAATGTAATTTTGATGAAGATTTGCTAATATTACATTTATATATATATATATATATACACATACACTAGTGCTCGTATGTGCGCGTTAAATTGCACAACTTTTTGTTTTGGTAGAACATTTTTTGTGATTTATTTTTTCTTGATATTAATTTATTGTATAAGTTAAATTATTCTCTACAAAATGATATATATATTAATATGTTTCAAATTTCTAATTAAATTTTATAAATTACATTATATGAATATGAATATAGATAATGGAAAAAAGAAAGAAATAAAGAGAATGAATTATATAAATAATTTTTTTTATAACTATGCAACTAACCAATTTTTAAAAATCTAATTTTTTTTTTCAAAATACTTTTTTTTATATCATACTTTTTTTTTGGTATTATTAAAAAAAATAATTCTCTACAAGAAGTGATAGACAGAATTGTTTGGATGAAAGGATGGGAGGAAGAAAGAAAATAAAGAAAAGTGGCAGACTAAATTGATCGAATGGAAGGATAAGAAGAAGAAAGAAAAAAAAAAAAAAAAAAGTGGCTGACCGAATTAGTCGGATGGAAGTGACAGATCGACTTAATCGGATGTAATGATTAGAGAAAGAAAGAGAATGAATTATATAAATATATTTTTAGGGAGAAAATGAGAAAAAAAAATGGCCGGCCGAATTGATCAGACGGAAGGACAAGAGAAATAAAGAATATAATAAAAGAAGTGGCAGATCGAATTAATCGGATGTAATGATGAAAGAAAGATAATGGATTATATTAAATTTTAGAGAGTCAATATGGAGGAAGTCGATTGCCTAACATGGGAATAATTGAGACAGCCGTCAAGCGGGAAGTCGGTCAGCGATAACTTTGACATATTTTATAGCTTATTGTGTTTAATTAATTATTTATTTATATTCAGTTTTGGTATAATTTATATTAATTTAATTTAATAATTGTATTTATTGTATTTTGTGTGTAAAATATTAATTTATTAATTTTAAGTATATTTTATAATTATTTTGGTGTATAAATTAAATTAATTGATGTATTTCTTAAATTATATTTTTAGGTATTATTTATTATTTATGTGATATTTAAACTTTAAGTTTAGCTAAATTAAATATATAAAAAATATAATTGAAATATTTAATGTTCGCGCAATAAATATTTAAAATAAATAATATATTTTATTATTAAATTTTTAGGTGTGAGCAAAAATTCAAACCAAATTGAAATTTAAAATTTGGTTCGAATTGAAGTTTTGACAAATTTCGGATTTTCGCATTGAATCGGATCAAATCGGTAATATTTAAAATCTGAACCAATCCGAAATCCGAAATATAATATTTTAATATAAAAAAACTCAAAATTATTAATCATATTTTAATATATTTACTTTTATATATTATATATATATATTTAATATTATAAAATAAATAATAAAATATAAAATAAATTTACAAATTAAAAAAATAATTAAAAAATATTTAGAATTTTGGATTTTTCGGTTTGGTTCGAATTTTTTAGTTCGAATTTCGGTTCGGTTCGGTTCGGCTCGGATTAATTTTTTCAAAAATTTTGAATTTTCGGATCGGTTCGGATTTGGCAAAATCCGAACCAAAAATCCGAATACTCACCCCTAGTAATTTTTAATAAATGTCAATTTTGTATTAATTAGTGCACAAATCTGTGTACAATCATTAATTATTAATTGAATGACTGTTGTATTAATTCTGCACAGAAACCAGTGGAAGTATTTATAGCTGGTCGGTTGCACGTGAAAACTTCTGCATAGAGGTGAGCAAAGTCGGCTGCTGTGTGGAATTCAAGCTACGGTTGTTCGGATGCATTAAATCCGTCAGACTCCCCCAACTCTTGCGTTTACTTCACATTTACTTCTGCTTTCTCCCAGCTGCTCCCATTAATTCCTGCACTATTAAGTTATTAACTTTCAAGTATATTTTATAATTATTTTGGTGTATAAATTAAATCGGTAAACTGGTTTTTTAGTCCCGTAACTGAACTCTTTTGTCATTTTAGTCCTGTAAGTTGAGCATGTCGCAAACTAGTCTCATAAGTGAAATATTTTCGTTGTTTTAGTCCTCCGGCACCGGAGACACCCGCGTGGCTCGCCGGAAGCCACGTGTTCGCCAGGTGTCCTACCAGGTCAGCGACACCTGGCGGACACATGGATTTTATTTTATTTTTAATTTTTTAATTTTTTTTTCAATTGGACCAAATAAAAAGAATTAAAGAAGACAAATAAATTTTAAAATAATTAAAAAAATTAAAAAAGAATTAAAATCCACGTGTCCGTCAGGTGTCGCTGACCTGGCGGACACGTAGCCTCCGACAAGCCACGCGGGCATCTCCGGCGCCGGAGGACTAATACAACGAAAATTTTTTACTTATGGGACTAATTTGCGACAGACTCCACTTACGGAACTAAAATGATAAGGGGGTTCAGTTACGGGACTAAAAAAACAGTTTACCCAAATTTAATTAATTGATATGTTTCTTGAATTATATTTTTATGCATTATTTATGTGTTATTTAAATATTTAATTTTAGCTAAATTAAATATTTAATTCATGTACAAAATGATATATATTGATCAATCGTCCAATCGGAGTCAAATATTTTTTGTTTTGCATGTCCAATAAACTCGAAAACTCCTGCATTAGTTTCAAATGCATTTCTTAATATATTATATCATTTAAATATTGTAACTAACTTATTGTATTAAAGTAAATGTTACGATCTACAAAATGATATACATATCAATATATTTTCTACAAGTAAATCACTACAAAATAGCAAATGGAATTGGAAAAACACAAACCTCAACAACACCCAATATCCTCAATATAACTGACAACGCAGGGGTTAATTGACAAATTTAATCATACTTGCCTACAATATTATCACTTCGTACAACTGTTCAAAATAACAAATGTTACACTATTAAGGACACTTACATAATAACATGTAGATATTTGTACCACTAATCATATATGTTAAAGATATGTGGGATGACATCCCTGCTCCTCTCCTCCTCTAGCCCCACACATGCCTATGTATAGATACATATGAGTGCGTATCTAAGCGCAAATATACAAACTCGATGACTACAAACAACCAAATAAGAAGACAACATGCTTTAATCAAATAAAAACAACTAGTCCACAAAAACATGTAATCCAAGTAACAAGCATGACCACCAAATATCAATGCTAGATTCTAACATATAGAAAACTTAAGGATCACATCAGCAAGACAATCCACATAATACTAACTAAACAATAAAATTCACAAAGATCTCAAGGAACACATGCAACTCAACACATAGCAAACAACATCATGCATCAAAGTATTCCTAAATTTCTACAATTAGTTTTAATTTAGCATCTCATGCTTATTTTCAACTAATTTTCCCATAGAAACATGCAATTTATTTTTACATTTAGCATTTTATCATTTTCACCGAGAACCTGTGGAGAAAAAATTAAATCAATCACATAGCATACAAATCAAGAATCTAATACATGCATTTCAATTTTTTCACCAAGGAAACACGTGATGCAACAAAAATTATTTTATTCTTCATTATCCTCCAATTTACAATTCTTTTTACGTATTTTCAAATATTACCTCATATGCATTTTCTATCTCATACGGAAATATTAACATGTGTCCAACAATTGATTATAGCAACTCAAATTCGCAAGACTAACACAAATATAGCCTAAGAAACTGCACAATAAAAATAACCAAAGAACCAAAAACAATTTCCAAAAAATTTCACCAAGAAATATAGGAAATTACATCAAATTTTAAGATTATTCTACTAATTACCAAGAAATGCATAGCCAATCAACACAAAAAATTTCAGCATATTATCAAACTACGATTTCACCAAGAATCATAATATACCACAAATAAGGATCTGAGGGTTTAGCTTTTTACCACGATTCGAATCCTACCAAACTCGAATCAATTTTTTTTTTCAATTTCGCAATCGGTTGATCACCCAGGGCTCTGATATCATTGTTGTGAATTCATTCCCGAATCTTTTGTATTTATCAAACAATACCTCATAAACAAAATTACGACAATAAATTAGCGGAAGCAAATTTCGAATAAAACCCACATTAAACTAAACCTAAATTGAAATAAAATTATCACATTTAATCAACAAAGGCTAAATTGGAAATGAAAACAAGAAATACAAACAAGCAGAAGCCTATTAATGAATTGAATTAAATCAATGGCACAAGACTCTCGATTCGTTCTGGACTTGATTTCTGGAAATCCCAAATGGAGTGATTAGGGCTCAATTCAATGACAAAAATGATTGACTTTTGCCGAAGACAATGAACGGACTTCTAGGGGTGAAAACAGCCTCGGTTCATGGTGGTCGGCGGCTTCAAACTCCAATTAAAGAACAGCGGTGGCTCCAACAAGTGACTCCTTCTTCGATGACGAACAACGGCGGCGACAAGCGACTGCCAACGGCAACTTCATCTCCTCCAGCCGCTGCTTTCCTCCGACGACTCTTCTTTCCAATGAGCAGCGAACCTCCATTGCGCACTCCGGCTGCAGTCTAGAGCGTCATCGGCCGGACAGCTCCTCCAATCGGACAACATCAATTTCTTCCGAACAACTATCGATCGACTCAGTCCATGGTGCGAATATAGATTTTCAGCTCAGTCCATGTGCAAATGACCCGAGGTGAGCACGTCTCAAGGTGGAGGTCGACACGTCACTCTAAGCCTCGATACCCACTAGAATCGGCACTCTAAAAGGGGGTTCTACTCTCACCGGAAACACTGGGAACACTTAGCTACCCTCCCTCTCTCCCCCTCTCTTATTTTCCCACTGTTTTTCTCTCTCGGAAATTCACACTCTCTATTTTTGGTGTATTATGGTTGCACAAAAGAAACTTTTCATCAAGCAATAGGTGACAAATTAATTTGCAGTTTCATGCACATTATCCACACATTGTATGGTGCACCACAACAAAAATGCCAACTACATCAGATAATATTTCAATTTAATTCTATCATTAAATTTCTAACAAAGTTCATATAGTCCCGATTGCTTTTCACT